TGTTTGAAAAATCAGTTGACCAGAGTTAGGGCTTTGTTATGCCTCTAACAGAAACAAGTGGCCTCATAACCAATCAACATGTGCTTTTTCATCTGTGACCTTTTCTCCTAACTGCCCAAAAGCAGATACAAAACAAGTTATTTCTCTCTGGACTCATCTCCACAACATTTTGGGAATAAATGAATAACCATTGTAGTAAACCATTTCTAAAAAAGGTTCCCAGTGATGCTTATCCTCTACAAATTTTCACTTTCTAGAGCAGAAGTCCCCAAAGTTATTTCGACTACCACCTCCTTTTCAGAAAAAAATTATTCATGGGGCAGGTGAGAAAGCATAGGGGTGCGGATATGGAGAAGGCACTTGACTGACACAGAATGATCTCCAAGCACCATATATGATCTCCTGATTATGCCAGGAGTGATCCCTGAGAACTGCTTGATGTGGCCCAAAACAAATCAAACAAAAAGTATATAGCAACCCCCTGAATTGTACCTGAGGCTACAACTGTCCCCCTGGATTGTTCCAATGGTCTCCTAAGAGATAACTTGACCACTTTGGGAAACACTGTAAATGCAGAGTAATCCCTTGAGTGTGGGTAGACCTAATGACTTGCTTGGAAGTGGCAGAGTTAAATGCTTACTGCTTAAACTGCCGAGTTTGGTAAGCAAGAGGACAAATTTATTATACATTAGAGAACTAATACATACAAGCAATAAGAACATTAATCAAATCATATAGATTCAGTGACTGAACCTACCATATAGATCACCTTCACATGGTGGGGCTGAGCACTCCTGACAGGAATTCAGCATGGCCCTCACTCTAGAATCTAGACATCTTTACCTTTCACAACACTAGGAAGTCTGCTTTAGAGAAAGGAATGTTCTCATTTCTGGAATGATCCAACACCCCAAGCTAGAAATTCCAAGTCCTCAATGTTATAAATTCACATATTGTCTGGTGAAGGAGAGCTGAGAAAGGAAAGGAAGTATATGCTAAAAGCAGCCCTTTCTGGCCTTGTATGAGTAATTCTTACAGCTGAAGTTTCACTACAACCACAATATTGTGGCAATAAAAAGGTGGCCATTTTCAATTCTGGCTGACATCAGAATATAATTCAACTAGATAAACCTGGGACTTGGCCAAAATAAGTAGCATTTAAATAACTGGAGCCAATGAATCGCATTGCTTTTCTGTGGAGCCATATGACTCTGATGTGAAGAAATAAAAGCCTTTGTTGTTTTAAAGGGCAGGGACAATTTGAAGTTTTGCAGCAGTTACAAAATTTTCCACCCTCAGCACTCCAAAGAAGATACTAGTTAGTGGCTTTATTTAGGAGATGGGTGTGGAGGTGTTTACTTATAGAAAGAAATTAAATTGATCCGGAACAGGATGTTAGCAATGTTACTACATTGATCAGAGATCCTAAAACACATTGCTATATTGCGGAATGAATTTAATTTCCTCCTTTACTCCTTTTTATTACTTGGCTCCTTGAAATCACTGTGTTCAAAACCTGACAAGGCAAGGAAAACTACCTCATCCCTCTCATAAATAGCACATTCTTGTTTTATAGAATAGTATTGGGGCGGATTTTTAAAATAATCTCAGAACACTGCCTCAAAAGTTGATAGTTGTTACTCTGCTTTTTTTTTTTTTTTTGCTCTTGTTTACCATGGGACCGAGCAAATTTTTAATATTTTCCATCTGGGATGAGTTCTCTGCATAGATAGTTGGGTACAGATAGTTTGAAAACAGTTCATTCATCCCTTGTGTCTTTGAAGGGTGCTGGCTCTCTGTGTCTCTATCTGTCTGTATCTATGTCTCTGTCTCTCTGTCTCTATCTCTGTCTGTCTGTATCTATGTCTCCCTGTGTCTGTGTCTGTCTGTTTGTATCTATGTCTCTCTCTGTCTCTGTGTCTATCTCTGTCCCTCTGTCTCTCTCTGTCTCTCTGTCTCTCTCTCTCTCTCTCTCTCTCTCTCTCTCTCTCTCTCTCTCATTATCCCTATTGCCTAACATCAGGGAGCTGTCTGGGACTATAATATGAAGAGTAGAAGCTCATCAACTAAACTGGTTTTAGTTGCATTTGAGACGCAGTATTTTATCCTGTCAGTTTTCATTTTATTTGATGACAGTGCTTGCTATTTCTCCCTCAATAAGCAAAGATGACTTAGATCAGTGCCCTGATGAATAAGCATGAAAATTTGATTTAGAAAAGGAGGGTATCCTGAAGCTCACAGGGAGAGAAAAGGATTTCCAACCCCCCACCACACACGCTTTAAATGACAAAGCAAAGCAGCAGCAGTGTCTTGAAACAGCATCTTCAATACAATCTCAATGCTCCCCCACATTAGGTAATGGGGATAATCATTTAGTAATAAAAAGAGGATCCCTTTTAAAAATACAAGGGGGGAATAAAACCCTTTCAAAGTAAATATCACTAATCCTTCATATTACCCTGAGGCAGACACCCCAAAAGGAAAAGGGGAAAAAAACTTACAGTCTGGGGTGAGGGGGAGACTGATGTTTTGGAGGAGAAACGAGGCCTCCCGTTGAGGGCCGGAATGGGGAATGTGAGCAGTCTAACACCCTATCTTAGCTCAAAGGCTTCTGCCCTACAGACCCATTAGCAGGACCAGGGAAACAACAAAGAACTGTGAAGTGGAAGGAAAGATTCCTGGTAAATTCAGTAATAGAAAGTAAATGAAAGACAAAAAGCGGGAAGCCAAAGCCTCTGGTGGAGGGGAACCCAATTAATTGTCTTAGATTTCAGAATCACTTTTGTCTTGGAGAAGCAGCTCAGCCAGGGTCAGCGAAGGAGCAAGCAACTAGCAAGCAAACTGATTAGGGCTCGCCAGAGTAATTTTTTTTTCTTTTAAAGCACAGGCGTGTGAATGTGTGCGTGAGTGTGCGTGTGTGTGTGTGTGTGTGTGTGTGTGTGTGTGTGTGTGAGCGCGAGATCCTTTCGGAACGTGTCACTTTCCTGCTACAAGTCTGCGTGTGTGCGCGAAAGCGGTCCTTTCCAAACGTGTCACTTATCCTACACAGGAATTCATGAATTCATGATGTTCCTCGCCGGCCAGAGAACCGGGAGCCCCCCCCACACCACCTCCCATCTGAGTAATTTCAGACCGCTCCGGGGCGGTCGCAGCGCGCGCGAGCGCCCAGCGGCCGGGGCAGGGCGAAGATTTCACGGGAACAAAAGAACGCTCGCCAATCCGAACACGCTGCTGCAGAACAGGATAAGCTCTCTTTGTGTTCCGAAAACTCTTCCCTTAGTAAATGCCCCGTCTTCTAGTGTACAGAAAAACTTTTCCCTAAATGCTTCCAAATAGGGGATCCAATCAAACGGTCGCTTCCACGACGGAAATGGGATCCCGAGTGGGCCAACGCGCCGAGGAACGAGGGGAAGCAGGGCGATCGCAGACGCTCGAGAAACCGTGTGTCCTGGGGCTCAGGTTACTTGGCTGATTATTTCCCCTCAAAAGCCGAAGTTCTCTTATGCAGTCACCCGGGACCTCAACTCGCCAGGCCTTGCGTGAGGAGGGGTGACTGGGGTTGGGGTCTCCCTGTGTCCCCCGCTCAGGGCCCCTTCCCAGAGAAGGGGTCTACACTTTCTCGCGCCTTAAATCGTCCCCCCCCCTTCCGATTTCTCCTAGGACGCGGCCCTTTCTCTTTTTAGGGGTGACGGATGAGTTTCCCTCAGGGGTCTGTTAGCTTCTAGGGAGAGAAAAGATAGCCCCTAGGCGCACCCCCTTCTCGCCGCATACCGAACCCCCACTATTAGGGTCCCAAAGCTGCCCGCCAGAGCCAGCATTTTCAGTCCAGGCAGGGCCAACGTGACTCCGGGTCACATCACTCTCCACTGAGGCGCTGCGCTATTCTCGGCTTCTCTCCTCTGCAAACGCCTTCCCCGGTGCGCCCTTCTGTTCAGGAATGTGTATTTTTTAGTAGACCCGGAAGAGGAACAAATCTTTCAAGCAAATTCCCTTTCGGGTGAGCTCAACACCCCCCACCCCCACCTCGGAGTGTGAATTCGGGGTAAAAGTTTTTCTTAACTTTTCCCTCCTAGCCCCCTGCCCCTCCCCTCAGGAATCCGCCCAGAGCACTGAAGTCTCCGCCTCTTCAGTTCTCTTGCCCGCCCCTTCCGACTTCCACCCAATCCCGAGGCGGCCACACAGAAAACAAAGGCTTCCATTGGACCTCACCGGAGCCCGAGGGCCCGCCCCCGGAGTGTTTGTGAATGGGGTGAGGGGAGGGGGCGGGGCGGCCGGGAACCCTGCGAGCGGGACGCTTCTTCTGGCGAGTTGTGCGACTCCGAGGCGTTACTCTGCGCTCTCTCCCCGCGGGCGGCGGCAGCAGCGGCGGCGGGCGCCGGGGGACTCGCCGGACCAGGGCTGTGCGGGGCAGAAGAGGCCGGGCCCAGGACGCTGGCACGGGCGTGCGGGTAGCCTTTGCAGCTTTGGACGCAGTGTGCCTGGATTTCCAAAAAGGACTCGCAGAGCTCTTGGGCTGCACGGCGCGGATCGGACTCAGAAAGCGAACCGGGCGTTTGGCTGAAACTTGGGGCCAAGATTTTGGGGCTGAAGAAGGAACGGGGAGTGGAGAAGGAGGAGGTGGCGGAGAGCTGAGCCTGGAGGCGAAGGGGCGGAGCAGCGCTGCCGAGGCGGCGACCGAGGGTAGCTGGCGGCGGAGCCCGGTTCTCGCCTGTTGGGGGACCGGACTGGGTGTTGGGGACGCGCGCGTTACTGTGCGCCGTGGGTGCAGAGACTTGGGCAAACTTTGAAGGGTAACCGGAGACGCTTGTTGCTCCTCGCCGCAGAAAAAGCCGCACAGCTAACGTCTCGACTGGAGAAGGCGCTCCACCATCCCACGCCCAACGCCCCCGGCCCAGGCAGACGAGTGTGGGGCTTCGGCGTCCGTGCGAGTGCTGGGCGGAGGCGGCTGCGGCGCCCCCGCGGCGCGGGCACCCCCCCCCCCTTCTTTCTCCCTAGCCGCAGCGCCCTCGGCTCCGCGCCGCCCACGGCCCGGCCCCGGCGCCGGGAAGACTCTCATGCGCCGGGCGCGGCGGCGCCTCCCCGGATCCAAGCTTCTCCCGGCTGCCTGGCCGCGCTCCTGCCGCTGAGAGCGCCTCTGCACCCGCGGCCGGCGATGCGGGACCCCGGCGCGTCCTCCTCGCGCTCGCTCCTCGGCCTGGGCACGCTGGTGTTGGCGCTGCTGGGCGCTCTGCCCGCGGGCACCGGGGCGCAGTCGCACCACAGCGAGAGGGGCATCTCGGTGCCTGACCACGGCTTCTGCCAACCCATCTCCATCCCGCTGTGCACGGACATCGCCTACAACCAGACCATCCTGCCCAACCTCCTGGGCCACACGAACCAGGAGGACGCGGGCCTCGAGGTGCACCAGTTCTACCCGCTGGTGAAGGTGCAGTGTTCTCCCGAGCTGCGCTTCTTCCTGTGCTCCATGTACGCGCCCGTGTGCACCGTGCTCGATCAGGCCATCCCGCCGTGCCGCTCCCTGTGCGAGCGCGCCCGCCAGGGCTGCGAGGCGCTCATGAACAAGTTCGGCTTCCAGTGGCCCGAGCGGCTGCGCTGCGAGAACTTCCCCGTGCACGGCGCCGGCGAGATCTGCGTGGGCCAGAACACGTCGGATGGCTCCGGGGGCGCCGGCGGCGGGCCCACCGCCTACCCCACGGCGCCCTACCTGCCGGATCTGCCTTTCACCGCGCAGCCTCCGGGCGCCGCCGACGGCAGGGGCCGCTCCGCCTTCCCCTTCTCGTGCCCCCGCCAGCTCAAGGTGCCCCCCTACCTGGGCTACCGTTTCCTGGGCGAGCGCGACTGCGGCGCCCCGTGCGAGCCGGGCCGCGCCAACGGCCTCATGTACTTTAAGGAGGAGGAGAGGCGCTTCGCCCGCCTCTGGGTGGGCGTGTGGTCGGTGCTGTGCTGCGCCTCGACGCTCTTCACCGTGCTCACCTACCTGGTGGACATGCGACGCTTCAGCTACCCCGAGCGGCCCATCATCTTCCTGTCGGGCTGTTACTTCATGGTGGCCGTGGCGCACGTGGCCGGCTTCCTGCTGGAGGACCGCGCCGTGTGCGTGGAGCGCTTCTCGGACGACGGCTACCGCACGGTGGCGCAGGGCACCAAGAAGGAGGGCTGCACCATCCTCTTCATGGTCCTCTACTTCTTCGGCATGGCCAGCTCCATCTGGTGGGTCATCCTGTCTCTCACTTGGTTCCTGGCGGCCGGCATGAAGTGGGGCCACGAGGCCATCGAGGCCAACTCGCAGTACTTCCACCTGGCCGCGTGGGCCGTGCCGGCCGTCAAGACCATCACCATCCTGGCCATGGGCCAGGTGGACGGGGACCTCCTCAGTGGGGTGTGCTACGTGGGCCTGTCGAGCGTGGACGCGCTGCGGGGCTTCGTGCTGGCGCCCCTGTTCGTCTACCTGTTCATCGGCACGTCCTTCCTGCTGGCCGGCTTCGTGTCGCTCTTCCGCATCCGCACCATCATGAAGCACGACGGTACCAAGACGGAGAAGCTGGAGAAGCTCATGGTGCGCATCGGCGTCTTCTCGGTGCTCTACACGGTGCCCGCCACCATCGTGCTGGCCTGCTACTTCTACGAGCAGGCCTTCCGCGAGCACTGGGAGCGGACCTGGCTCCTGCAGACGTGCAAGAGCTACGCTGTGCCCTGCCCGCCCGGCCACTTCCCGCCCATGAGCCCCGACTTCACCGTCTTCATGATCAAGTACCTGATGACCATGATTGTGGGCATCACCACCGGCTTCTGGATCTGGTCGGGCAAGACCTTGCAGTCGTGGCGCCGCTTTTACCACAGACTCAGCCACAGCAGTAAGGGGGAGACTGCGGTATGAACCCCGGCCCCTCCCCCTCGCCGAGCCGGGGGTGGGAGAAAGGCGCCTGAGCCAAAGGACTGCGGGGGTGGGGGGACGGGGGCTTGATTCGCAGCCCCCCCCCCGCCCCCAATGTAAAGTGACTTGGAAGACAGAGTGAGAAGGATGTTGTAAGGCTTGGGGCCGGAGGTGGGTTTGGAGAGGAAAGACAGTTTGGATGAAAAGACTTCTCTGGCAAAGACTTGCAGGATAATGACGATAATAGCGGTGATGTTACTGGGATAGTACGGCACCGGCCTACCGGGGCCAATCGGGAAGGGGAGAGCAGCCCCCAGACTGCTTGGAGCTCTGCCCGGCTTGGGGGTGGGGGGTGGGGGGCAAATTGGGACTGAGCACGATCCCCCTGCCGCAAGACAAGTGGCCTGGCCTCACGCCTGTGAGGCCGGGTGAAAGGTACAGCTCTGTTTGTTGGGAAAGGGGAGGACTCCCTGCAGAGGCCTTGTCAAGCAGTGGTCAAACCATAATCTCTTTTCACTGGGGCCAAACTGGAGCCCAGATGGGTTAATTTCCAGGGTCAGACGTTATTACAGTCTCTCCTCCCCTGCCCCCACCCGCCTGGTTCTCCTCCCTTTCAAGTCTTGTAAAATAAGCATTGGGAAAGCATTGGGAGGTCTCCGGAGGCTTGCCGCCTCAAATCCCACCGTGAGGATGCTAAAGAAATGAAGATGGCATTTGTAGATGAGGCAAAGGAGAGAAGGAGGTATTTCGGTTGCTTTTTAATTTCCTGGAAAGGCAGGAGGAAGAGAGGTATTTTAATTCAGCTTAATGCCCTGAAAAGAAGAGATGACTTGTTGCTTTTCAAAACAGGAATGCATCCCCCCACCCCCACCCCCACCTTTGTTATAAGAGACAAAAGAGGGAACCAAAGTGTCTCCCTGTGGAAAGGCATCACTGAAAACAACTGTCCTAGGCAAAGTAGCACAAATGGGGGGGAACTTTTCTTGGATGTTAATTTGGTTAACATAAACATTCCTTTTTAAGGAAAAGTGAAGAGCAACGGTGCTTTCAGATCCAGTTCAATCTGAGATTCTGACTTGGCTGAAGGAAATGCAAGAGTTTCTGTTATTCTTGTTTTAAATTTAATCTAGAACACATGATCCAATAGACTATGTTAAAATGTTCAGGGGAAACGCTCCCTTCATTTTTCTCCCTAACTATAAACTGCAGTTGGGTTTTCTTTATTTCTGCTTCTTCCCTTCCAATTTGAATCCTTCAGGATAAAAAGGAAAGCAGAATGCCTTCAGTCCTGTAATAAAGGAAAGCTAATTTTTTTAATTACCATTTTGTTTTGTTCCCAAATCTGTTTCTAAGACATCATGTGTGTACTGACCCTGTCTTTGTGTGGCTAGGTGGGGAGGTGACCTGCAGAAATGATAGTGAATGAAGAAGACAGTTCAAACCATTTTTAAGGAAAGTCATTGAAAGAAGGTAAACTTCAATGTAATCCTGGAGTTCTTTGAAATATGCTGGATGAGTGAAATTTATTAATCTTAAATCATGTACTTTTTCTCCTGTGATAGTAATTTGTTCATTTTCATAAATGGTCTGTCCAAAGCTAAGCAGAGAATCCTGGGAGCTAATCCTTATTCCACCTTTGACAACACCCTCCCAATCTTGCAACACTCTCCTATTTCTCAAAAACAGTTTCTAAGGACTTTAAAAACAGTTTTTCGACCATGGAGGGTATTGTCAAGAGTGCAAGTTCCTTTTTTTTTATGTGATTTTCAGTTGAGCAGCGCTGCTTTTTATATAAAAATATTGATGTTGTGTTTGTTAAACCTCCAAAACTGTCTCATTTGTAGGATTTTTTTAAAACTTCCTCTACACAGTTCTTGGCATCTTTTGTGTTGTATCTCTTGCATGTGAAATTTGTAAAATAGAGACAAGTGCAGTATGTATATTTTGTAAATCTCCCATTTTTTGTAAGAAAATATATATTGTATTTATACATTTTTACTTTGAGTTCTTGTTTTGCCTTTCAAAGTCTACAAGGAAGCTCCACTTTATCATGTGTACAGATCACAAATAAATTTTTTTAAATACACAGTGAATGTTTATTTAGTTCACAATCTATCTAGTGCTAAGCCAAAGAACAGAACTTTGTTTTGGAAAAAGAGGGGACAACATTGGATACATCCCTTACTCAAGAAGATATTATGTATTATTTTGAGGTTTTCTGACCTTGCAGTCTAAATTGTGGTATACAGTGAATGCTTTAGCTATCCTTTAATTTTTTGTTGTTATTGCTGCTTCCTTCTCTACCTCACCCACCTTTAAGCTTTTTACATCCTAATGTGGGTAATTTATCTGAAGGTTCAGAATAAGCATATCTTTTAGAAAGGTGCTATCTGATCCATGTTTTTACTACCTTTTGGGGGAGAAAATTCTTATTTATAAGAGAAATTTTTAATTTAAATTTATTTATTTAAAAGAGAGAAATCCTTATTTAGAAGACATTCTTAATCTTTTCCTGGTAATGTTTTCCTTGGGAAGAATTATGTGATTTTTTTTAAAGCTAATTGGTGTTTTTGTATTCGAATTCACCTTATCTACATTGTTAATTCTTAAATGGCTGGGAAAGTCGGTACAAGGATGATTCCAGATGATAGCTGGGAAAGTCGGTACAAGGATGATTCCAGATGATAGCTGGGGCCTTGGCGCGTGGAGCTGCCTCAGCCACAGACTTCACAGGCTTCACTTTACCTTCTAGGTCAACTGAGCCAGAGGTCAAGTGATTCCCGAGGTGGTGGTGACTCAGCAGCTCCAGCAGGACAGCCTCCATGCCTGACCCCGGGATGGCCTCAGAAGCCACTGAAGCTATTCTCTCCTCTGCTTGGGGAGGCTAACTTTGGAATCAGATTAGACTAAGAAGCCTTGCTATCCAGGCACTTTGATATTAAACAGTCCCTCAGGGAAATGATAAAGGCATTCAAAATACTTGCAATTCCCAGCTTCTCCCCCCCACACCCCCTAAGTCTTCTCTCACCTCTCATTTAATTCAGGGGCCTGATTCCTGACTCTTCAGATTAGAGACGCCTCATTCTTCAGCAGCCGTCAGGCCCCAGAAGCTGACTGGTTGTTGCTGTTTCTCCTATCCTGCTTAGGCTTTAAGTTCTCTACTTCTAAGGCTCAACAGAAACAGTTGTATTTTTGTTTTAATTAACAGGCTCACACACATGGCTGGCGTGTTTTACAAACACGGAATGAAAAGCAGTGACAGACAGGCCGTCCTCACCAGGAGGAGGAAGCCAGGCGGCTGCTCGCCTTGCAAAGCAGCGTTTTAAGATCCTCTGGGGTTTTGAACATCACAATGAGGGTGAGGTCATCCTAACCTGTGAAGATTTTGACATCAAGGCAGGGGAAAAAAAGAAGGACTTCAAGTCTCTTAAGGTTTATCCAGTTTTTGCTCATAAAAATGACACCTTTTAGGTTAAAGTATGCCTCTTTTAACACCACACTAATACTGCGTGTGGAGAATGTTTGCTTTTAGAGTAGGTGGAAGGCTCCCAATGGGGTTTTCTGCTCACACATTTACTGCTACAGGCACTTAGCCCCTTCTGTGGAAGAGCTTCCTCCTGGAAGAAGTGTGCCTTGTCAGCCCTGCTTCATCCTTCAGGGCTCTCAAATAGAAGCTTCTGGGTTGCAGTGAGGGAACAAAGGCAGGGTGGATAAGGGACTACCTGCTTTTTTTCTTTTTTCTTTCTTTTTTTTTTTGTAAGCAAAGAGATAAGTGTCATTTAATTTCTCTCAGTTTGGGTGCAACCTTCTGCAGTCAATTCTTAGCTCAGGGATTTTTAAGAAGGCTCATTTTAGCAGAAAATATGTGAGGGAGAGTTTACAAAAGGGCATGTGTAGTATTTGAGAAAAACATTGGCAGGAATTTGGTGTTAATCCCAAGATAAGGAGCAGAAACATGTGTGAAAAAAATTTGCCATTTATAAAACAAAATCAGTCTGCACAATACCGCCATCCAACACCTCACCTTTTTAAGTACATATGTGAGGAATCTGGGTGATACATAAATAAATGTCCAGTTGACAAGAGCTTATTCATTTGAGAAAAAGTAGAATTTTTCAAATGTGATTGATAGAAAATGTGATATTAGAAATTCTCTGGAGAGCTACAGGAGTGTAACAGCTGTAGGTTTGAGACCTATAATCATACTAGGAAATTCTCTTCTAGCTCTCCCATCTTTAATTTCACTGAAAAAGCAGGTGGCTATTTATAGATGGTATATTTTTATATATGCATTTGTGGATGGTGAATAACAGTCTCCAGGGTCCAGGAAATCCTAGAAGGGAGCAAAAGCACTCCGGTGTGGATTTAAACACTCCATAGACCTGTTCTACTTTTCTCTTATTCCACCCTAAGTGGTTTTAAACTCATTTTATAATATTGGTTCTACAATTTTAACTTTCTACTTGATGACATTTTTTTCCTATCTCAAACATTCCTCATAATTCATAAAAAAAAAACTAGCTTTGAGGAGGAAATTACTAAAAGGGTACCCTTAAAATATCAGGTCTTTGGTGAATACACATGGTGCATAGCTCTTTGGTTTTTTTGCGTTTTGTTTTGTTTTTAAAAAAAGGAAGCAATATAGTCACTTGTTATTTTCTCAATTAGCACCACAAAGTCAAAGAAAGAAAGTTTGACATAAAGACAATAATGTATTTATTGTTTTGGGAGACTCCAGCGATGCTTGAGGTTTATTTTTGGCTCTGAACTCAGCGATCACTCCCGGTGGGGCTCAGTTAACCATAAGTGGTGCCAGGTATCAAACCAGGGTTGACCAGGTGTAAGACACATGCCTTAACCCCTATGCTATCTTTCCAACTCAGCAGTAATGTATCATAAGTCATCCAGTTCAAGAAATACGGATCAGGCTCTCACTAAGAGGCACCATGACTGGAACTAGAGGTTTTACAGATAAAAATGGAAGACTCAGGTCAGGGAAATAACTTAAAGATCAAGGGTCTACAGGACTCGGGTTCAATTTCTGGTATCATATGACCTCTTGGGTTTCCTGACACCCTAGTCATCCCTTACACCACAGGGCCAGAACAGTGCTGCACTCATTTAAGG